CCCCCTGCCCCCCCCCCCCCCACCGCTTCCAAAATGCATGTATACATTTTGATGTGAAAATAAAACTTTTCGAATTTCATGCAGCGAGAAATGATGAAACAGAAAGATATGCGATTGTAACTTGCATTAAGGCTTTCTTACCGAGTGCCCAATTTTGTTCTTCAGTCGTCTAGACGTTCACACGCTGAGGTCGATAAAGCTCTCCGTGCTATGTGCAACTATTTCCACGGAGCAAAAAGTTGAGGAAAAATTATCGACGAAATCTCGGCAAATTTAAATGTTCGAAGGGTAATGGGGCGAAATTTACACGCAGAAACATTTTCTAGAAAAATGCACGTGCTAGGTATCATAAATGTGGAGCAATTTGCACATTTGGAAAAATTTTCATCTCAATTTTCCTTGTCGAATTGCGGAAATTTTTATCATGCTTAATTTCCACTGAAGTTTCAGGAAATTTTGTCATTGAAAAATGAAATATTCCAGTGATTTTCTGCTCGAATGATATGAAAATCAATGAGATGCTTGATTTTTCAGTTCAATTATTCTGTGAAAATTCGGGAAAATTGAAAAATCGTGTTATTTTGTTGCAGAATATTCATGTTCTATTGAAAATTAAATCAAATTGTGGAATTCCACCTAAAACTCGAAATTTCATAACTATTTTTCTCTTAAATCGGATTCAATGTCACTCTCACGAGAATTACTACCATATTTTCCATGAAATTCCGAAAAATTTCTCACAGTGTACGTCAAGAGAATTTTTGTGCAACACCAGAAAAATTATGGCGTCTCTAATATTTTTTCCATTGCAGCACAATAATTTTTCCAAAAGTGCAAAATGCACTACGTTCATAATGCTAGTACAGTCATTTTTCTAGGAAATTTTTCTCGTTGTATTTCGTTCCACCATTACCCTTCGGAGAGTTTCCTCTATCTCTCCGTTTTTTTAAATTCACCATTAGTCTCTCATTTTTCCTCCTCAACATGAAGACAGAAAGACCTAAAAAGGAATTACGCTTTACGATTACTTGACTTTTTCACTAATTTTTCCTCAATTTTTCTTTCCGTATACATGTCGCTTTTTGCAGTTCCTTCGAAAGTCCATGAAACGCATTAATTGTTACGGAAAAGTGAGATATGCGCCGAACATATTCTTTTCAACGCCACCCGAATATCCCATAAATCTGATCCAGGTGTAATACCCATATCTATCATTCGTGCATGAATGAGCTGACACACATAGAGGGAGCGAGACACGTTTGGGTTCCTTTCGAATTAACGCGCCTGGAGATGGAAAAATGATCATGACATTTTTCAACCAGAACTGTCTGAGTATTATAACAACACATTGGTCGATGGATTATCTCTGATGTAAATAACCCAATGTCAAGTTTCTAATCCAAAACTGTTGAATTTTTATTTCAATTGAAGATTTTTATCTCTGATGTAAATAAACCCAATGTCAAGTGCCCAATCCGAGACTGTTGAAATTTTATCTCAACTGAAGAGGGGAAAATTTTCCGTAAATATTAGATGTGATTATGAAATTCCGGGAAATGTGGGTAACATATCATTCGAAATGGCTGAAATTAATTGTTAAAGGCAATGTCTAGGAATGTTCTTGTCGAATTGGTAAATTTTAATGTAGTTCATTAATCAGATCACAGTATATGGAACTGATTTTCCTACAAAACTTGATAATTTGGCACTGAATATTCATATTAGATTGGAAATTTAAATAAATTAACGAATTCTCGTCTTTATGTTGCCTAACATAATTTATTTTCTAACATTGCAGAATAGGAAAATAATCTAGACCACACTATTTGATTTTTTATTTCGATAGAAAGAAATTAAAAATAATCCATTTGAAATTTCCTGACGAAAAATGAACGAATAAAATTTAGATTTCCATCATAATTAAATCGAAACAATTATCCCAAATTATATGAGGAAACCGTGCTCATTTGTGAATGTGAGATAAGCAGTTTTCGAAATAATTTTTTATTAATCCCTCCAATGAGTTCCGGTATCCCGAACGGTTGAGATATTATTTACAATAGTTGAAGCATTCTTGAGAATTCGCATCCTAGAGCTATCAACCGTCAACAACAACAGAAAAAATAATTTCAAATAAATAATTCAAATATTTTGAAATATTCTTCGTTGTTTAATCAACGAATTACAATATAATGAATGCATTTTGTCATACAACACAATATAAAAATTATATAAGAAAGAAATTCTCTCAATTTTTCCGGAATAGGCGAATGAGCTACGCAATACTACTTCATTTTCCTTTTCGAGACATGAGAGTAAAAAACACCGACTCAATTTCAATTCCACAGGAAAAAATAAAACAACAGTATTAATCATCCGTAAAAATAATCTCAAAAAAATTGCCCCAAATAACATTTACTTTCGCAACATCTAACATATTTTCATATCAAGATTTCCACTGACTGAAGATGAAATCTGCACGAATGCGAAATATACAAGATAAAAAATGTTTATCAATCAAGCTTTCTGACGAATTATCGCATCATTGTGTGCGTGCGCACCTATCTCGCGTTGCAACCCAAGATTCCCCGCGATTCTCTCCCCAGCCATCGCGCGGAATTCAACACCGAGTATCAAAAACCGTCGAAACCACATTTTCCATAAAATCGAAAAAGAGACAAAAGAAGAGTGTTTTCAACTTACGCGGAGTGGCTGGCATGCTTCACCGCAGTATGCAAGAACTCGTTCTCGTTGGGCCTTGTAAGTGGTCCATTGGAACCATGTCCATTGGTTCTCTCGAAAGGCATCGCAACTGGAGCAATAGGTCTTCAACTGTACAAATATCCACCACTAAAAGTCACTCAGAAATTTTCTTTTATTCGTTGCTCTGTCCTCTTCAATCAGAAAGAAAATTTCAATTCAATTCCTGAAGACGACCGAGTAAATCAACAACTGTGTACTGTGATCAGAAGGGCCAATGTCAACAATGCTCTACGGCTGACCACTGGTGAATGTCTGGCATCCGTTATGAGTAGCCGTTTTATAAGCTGAACCCAAAGCCTCAAGTCGAATGGGGAAAAAAATGTCTAAAGTCGCTATTGACCAATCGTGTGTACAGTTTGTGAAGACCGAGGACCAATCGTCGACTCCTCGATGTAGACTGTAAAGCAGAGGACTGACAAGGGGCCAGCGTTAATGATAACCCATTGCGTGTAAAATACTCCAATTGCCTCTCGAGGCCGCTTTACGCAGGGAGCCTGCATGACGGGCTAATCTTCCC